CAGGATGCCGTGAGAGCAGGGCTGGGAGGTAAATTTAAAGCTATGACTACATTGAAAAAGAAGAAAGATCTCAAGGCAATAACCTAACTTTCCCCCTGAAGGAACTAGATGAACAAACTAAATGCAAAACAAGCAGAAGGAAAGAAAGAAGAGAGTGGAGATAAAAATACAGAATCCATGAAACTACAAGTTGGTTCTTTGAAAACAAAATGGATACAAACAAAACTGATAAACCTTTAGCCGCACCTTCCCTCCTCAACTTTTGTTCCTAGCACTGAAGACACTGCACTTGTCTCATCCAAGGGCCACGGCCATTCACAACTTACTTGAATTCTTGGCGGCATCAGACACACCCAAGCACCCTCTTCTTTACTGGGCTCTCCTGCCCACTCTCTTGGTTTTCGTCCCTTGGTGCCAAACCATTTCTAGCTCCTTTGCTGGCTCTCTCCTTGCTGTTCTCTACTGTTGGAAACTAAGAGCTCTGTCCAGGTTCTCTATCAACAAACTTTTCTTATTTGGCCACAGCTCATGGCTTTGTTGTTGTTGTTCACTGTTTATTGACTGCCTCCCCCAAGAACGTATGCACCTGGAGAGTAGGATAGGACTTTGACCCCTTACAGCAAATTCATTACAGATGCCCTTAAATAGAACAAATGTTAACAGTTTGTACATTTTGCCCCCAGGATTTCTCCCAGCTGCCCCGATTTCTTTTATGCATGTGCACACACAGACACACAAGACATGTTACATGGTTTGTTTGGTTTTTTTAAAAACACATACCTCAACATCGATATTTGAATGAATGACTTGGGCTAAATCTAAATGACTTGGGCAAAGAAGGTGAACTCTACTCCTGCTGGTTACTCCAATGTGTTAGCAAAAACTGAAAATGATTCTTAAATATTAGGTTAAAGATAATAACGTGCCATCTGGGGCTCAAATAGTGGGATAATAAATTTGGCACATACTATATTCAACTCTGTACTCTGATGGGAATTTTTTTTAAGATTTTATTTATTTATTTGACAGAGACACAGCGAGAGAGGGAACGCAAGCTGGGAGAGTGGGAGAGGGAGAAGCAGGCTTCCTGCTGAGCAGGGAGCCCGACGCGGGGCTCGATCCCAGGACCCTGGGATCATGATCTGAGCCGAAGGCAGATGCTTAACGACTGAGCCACCCAGGCGTCCCCTGATGGGAATTTTAAACCTGAAAACAAGTCCTTTTTCATACTGCAGTTGGAAAAACTGGCTATCCAAAAATGGGTTTTTGTTATTTTTATGTGACTTAGGGAATAAAGGGGAAGAGGAATATTAATGGTTGGATTTTATTCAGGATTATTGCCATTTTTTCCAAACCGCTCTGACTCTTGCAACATCATGCTACAGGCTTTTAAGGATAATGAACTTTACTCATTTTTCTCTCCTAAGGCCACCTCTTAGCTACATCTGCTGTATCTGGTGGCCTCACACTTGATAAGGTCTCTGGAGAAACAGCACCATCTGCTGGGCAAACACTGCTGTGCACCCATCTCAGCAAATCGCCAGCTGCTCTCAATCTTTACCTTTCCTTGTGCAACTCCAAACTGGACATCAGTTCAGGTTAGCAACTAAGGCTTGTCTTCCAGAAGGCCAAACAGGAAGCCCTGCTACTCCAGAAATGCTGATAAGATCAGAGAAACCCCTTTGTCTGAGGCTCCCCTTCTAAGAAATCAATTTGGGTTTTGGAGGTGCTTGGTTGGTTCAGTTGGTAGGGCTCACGACTCTTGATGTTGGGGGTTGTGAGTTTGAGCCCCATACTGACTGCAGAAATTACTTAAAAATAAAACCTTTAAGGCACCTGGGTGGCTCATTTGGTTAAGCATCTGCCTTCGCTCAGGTCATGATCCCAGGGTCAGGCTCCCTGCTCAGCGGGGAACCTGCTTGTCCTTCTCCCTCTCCCTCTGCCCCTCCCCACCCCCACCCCCCGTGTGTGTGTTGTGTGTTGTGTGTGCGTGTGTGCGCACACGGCTCTCTCTCATAAATAAAATTTTTTTTTAAATAAAAAAAATAAAATCTTTCAAAAAAAAGAAAAACTTTAAGAAATCAACTTGGGTTTTGATCCAAGATTGGAAATCAGTGCCATTGTAAGAAAGCACAACTGAGGTAGATTAACAAACAGGAATAAAAAAGGCCACAGTTTTAAGAAGCCTTTCTTCCCTATATTCTCTGCAAACAAAATGCTGAGAAAATTTAATGCCTTTGATCTCTTTTTGGAAATTCCAGAGGGTGAGATTTTTTTCCTCCTTCCCTTACTAAGAACCATGCATTTTTCTCCATTTACCACCTAGCTCACTACTTGCTTTCTAGGCATTTTTCCTTCCTCTTGACCAATCTATACCTCAAGTTCTTCCTAAGATCCTTTTCTATAACATTTAATTGTGAATGAGTTTCTTAGGGTCTAAGAAATATTCAACTTCTTTTTCCCTTCCTTTCACCTCCCACTTTGACAAACTGAAATTTGATATTGGAACGTTTTCTTTATTCCTGAATCTATTCTCAATTACTTAAAATAAATTAGTCTTGGGATGCCCGGTCTGTCTCTTGATTTTGGCTCAGGTCTGATCTCAGGATCGTGAGATCGAGCCCCCACTGGGCTCGGAGCTCAGGGGATAGATTCTCTCTCTCCCTCTCCCTTTGCCCCTCCCCCCTTCTCTCTCTTTCCCTCTCAATAAGTAAATAAATGTTTTTCTGTTACCCTTTTCATCATGGACAGGAAATGCCTCTTGCTGTAGACTGAATTTCTGTGAACCCCTTGAAATCCATATGTTGAAATCTAACCCCCAAGGTGATGGTATTTGGAGGTGGGGCCTTTGGTGGAACCCTCATAAATGGGATTAGTGCTATATATATGTATATGTATATGTGTGTGTGTATATACATACATACATATATACATACATACATACATACATATATATATATATATTTTTAAATGTGATCTCTATGCCCAACATGGGGCTCAAACCCAGGACCCCAAGATCAAGAGTCGCATGCTCTACCAACTGAGCCAGTCAAGCACCCCGGATTAGTGCCCTTATAAAAGTAGCCCAAAGAACACTCCTTCGCCCCTTCCGCTATATGAGGTTATAGAAAGAAGACTTTGGTCTGTGAGGAAATGGGCTCTCACCAGACAGTAAATTTGCCAGCACCATGATCTCAGACTTCCCAGCCTCCAGAACCATGAGAAATAAAATTTTGTTGTTTATAAGCCACCCAGGTCTCTGGGATTTTGTGAGAGCGGCCCAAACAGACTATAACAACACCTCTACCTCAATTCTCTTTGGGCCACATACTGAGCACCCTCCTTTTTCTTTAATTCCTTCCTCCCTTTTCTTTTTTCTTTTTTTTTAAGTAGGCTCCAGCGTGGAGCCCAATGTGGGGCTCAATCTCACAACCTTGAGTGAGATCATGGCGTGAGCTGAAACCAAGAGTCGGAAGCTTAGTTGACTGAGCCATCCAGGCACCCCTAATTCCTTTCTAATCTAGGCCCTGGTGCATAATTTTCTCTCATTTCTTCCTTACTTTTCCTATTATTCCTTTGTTGGCATTAAGAGACACCTTTCCTATCATCTTCTCATTAGCTTTTTCGAAAATCATAAGAAGTTCATCACTTTATTGCCATTTATGGCTTTATCATTTACAAAACACTACCATTTCCAAGATTTACTTAAACTCATTTCCCTTTTACTATCCTTCTACATTTTCATAGTCCTCAGACTTCTTAATTAGTTACTAGGAGATAAAAATTATCAACATAAAGTCTTTTATATTCCTTGTCCTCTCAAATTTGCAAAACTTTTTTGTATTCAAGGCATCCCCAAAATTATTCCTCCAGGATTCATTACAGCTTTTCTTGATTAAGGAAACATGCCTCCTTCAAACATTATTTTATGTATCTCAAATGTAAGATTCTCAAAAATCGAAGAAACCCCACTCATAACAGGAATGCTTACTATCCATATGAAATAATACCCAATGAGATCATATATGTATATATAACTCAAATAATAGTCAATAATTTTCCACTGGCATTGCATTAAAACACACACACACACACAAGATTAAGGCAAAAACTAAAATAAAGTTCTTATCTTCTCAGTCTCTCTTCAGTTTGTCTTTTGCTTATGGCAATAGGTGGTATGGCTCAGGAACCTACATAAAACTGAGTGGAGAAGAAAATGTTTTTATTAATCACAACATGAAACTGACATGACATCCCATTAGGATTGAACCAGGATAAATAACGCTGTTATAAAATTTACACTCTTCACATCCATTTCAGAGGAAAATATTACATTATTGGGGCTCTTCTAGAAGGGTCTTATGGAATGATTTCAGTAAACCTTTTGTTTTTAGTAAATAGCAACCTATATTCTCAAACTGCTAAAAAGTAGTTAGAAAGGCAACTATAAAATCCATAATGATACCAACTGGCAGGATTAGGACTACTCTGTTAGACAGTAAGTTTTAGCTGTTGTATCAATGCACCGTTTTCATTGGTAAGGCAACCGCTTGCTGGGGGTGCCACAGTGATTAGCTCAAGTTTCTTCAGTAAGAGATGCTTGCTTCATCAAGATTCAAATGAGTTTCCTCTCCCAATTTTGCTCTTTTGGAGCAGAAACAAATGGCTCTGTCTTTTGTACAAGGGAGGCTAATATTTTGAAATTCAGCTGTCACAATCTTCTAACTCATAATTTAAAAGGGGAATGAATTATTATTGGGAATAAGTCTGTGAAATACTTCCAGTTTTTAAAATAACAAGGCTTCTGAATAACTTCTCGAACCTACCTTTCCATGTCGGTAACATGACTTGATAAACATAACACATGTAATCTGCACTGTGGTAATTCTTCTATCAGCTACATTTTGCCCTCCGTAAGGGTTAGAGTTGTGGTTTCAAACAATTTCTACATCGAAAGCATCCTTAAATAAGTTTCCTTTTCACTGAACGGAGATTTTTTTTTTCCACTTATGTGCCCGTGGAAGGCAATTTAAACATACACATATATACACCTGCATACCTATGTGTGTGTATATATGGCTTTTTAAGTAAGTTACTTTCACCATTAGAATAAAACTAGACTACAGGGAGAAGTCTGTGAGGCCAGTCTGGTGCTCCTTACACCTCCTGCTCTACGCTGAGGAGGGCAGGTACAGTTCGCTGAAGGACGTGATGAGGCTGTAGTAAGTCTTCTCATCGTCTGTCAGCCCCGCGTTGCCGGGTCTCACCACCACAGCGACGTGCACATCCGCTTCCTCGGCAGCGCTGGCCTCTATGAGAATCAAAGTACATGTCAGAACCATCAACAGGTGACGTCTGAGATTTGCTTCAAAGTAATCAGGGGCATGTGGGGGAGGAAGAAACAAGTCGGGCTCCTATCTGATCATTGTTGAAACTAGAAGATGGGCATACTGGGGGGGGGAGGGTCTGAGCACATTACTCTTTCTTTTATGTAACTGTAATACTTCCATAATAAAAAATATTTAAAAATACGTGACTGTACCTGGCAGACTAGAATGGGCTAGACGTCCCTGTCCTGGTGTATAGTGAAGAATGTATCCTAGACGTCTGCACTTTTATTAAGTAGTTATGAATGCAGAAGCAAAGAGCCATGTTCTGGCCATGACTTTCCTCCATTCCCTCTCATCAGTCCCACAGAAAACTGAGTGTTTCCCAAAAGTCAGGCTGTCAGTAATAATATCAGTCAGGGAGAGATGGGACAAATGGAAGGCCAAGATCCAATCAGGCCAAAATTCTGGCTGTCACATCAGGAGCCCAAATATGTCCTACTCCCTAGCCAGCCTGCCCATCTTTTTTGCCTGGCAAATTTCTACTCTTCAAAATTCAGCTCAAATATCTTACCTTCCAGAATGACTGCCATGTGGATTAGAGCATCCCATGTGCTCCTTTAGCACTTTGTGTTTAGCTCTATCACCACTCTATGAACGGACACGTTATTACCTGTTGTCTCTCTTCTCATTAGACTGTGAGCGCCTTAAGATCAGTGACTGCATGGGGCGCCTGGGTGGCTCAGTTGGTTAAGCGACTGCCTTTGGCTCAGGTCATGATCCTGGAGTCCCGGGATCGAGTCCCACATCGGGCTCCCTGCTCAGCGGGGAGTCTGCTTCTCCCTCTGACCCTCCCCCCCTCATGCTCTCTCTCTATCTCATTCTCTCTCTCAAATAAATAAATAAAATCTTTTAAAAAAATAAATAAATAAATAAAAAGATCAGTGACTGCATGGTGGGTAAAAGAAAAACAGGACTAGTACAGTAAAACTAGGTAAGCCAGGTAGAGCAGGGGATATCTCTACTATGCCTTGGGCTACATTCCTCTCTCCACTCTGCGTCCATGTGAAAGGTAACAGCTAATGCCTTATATTAGTTTAGCACATACGATGTACCAGGTACTCTTCTAGGAACAGACATATATGAACAAAACAAAGCTCCTGCCTTCGTGGAGCTCCCATTCTCATCTAAATCTTCACAACAAGGTACTACTGAGGTAGTTAGTATTACCATCCCCATTTTAGAGACATGGAAAGTGAGAGCTAGTGAGCGGTAGAGCTAAAGTTTGGGAAAGTGTGAGCCCGACTCTCTGGTCTGTGCTCTAGAACAAGGGCGAGCAAATGATGACCTGACACATGCTTTTGTAAATAAAGTTTTATGAGAACACAGTCATGCCCATTCATCTGTGTATTGTCTATGGCTGCTTTTCCACTACCAGGACAGAGTTTAAGAGTTGTGACAGAGACTGTAGGGCCTGCAGAGCCTAAAATACACTACCTGGCCCTCTGCAGAACGAGCTTGCCAACCCTGCTCTAGAGCAATACTATTCCAAATGTGACCTGTGGACCTGTAGCAGGGGAAGCACCTGCAAGCTTATTAGAAATGCAGAATCTCTGGGGCGCCTGGGTGGCTCAGTCCATTAAGCATCCGACTCTTGATTTAGGCTCGGGTCATGATCTCAGGGTCATAGGATCAAGCCCTGCATCAGGCTCCGCACTCAGCGGGGAGTCAGCTGGAGATTCTCTTTCTCCCTCTGCCCCTCCCCCGACTCGCTCACTCTCTAAATGAATAAAATCTTTTTAAAAAATAAAAAAAAGAAAAGAAAAGAAATGCAGAATCTCAACTCCCGAACATGGAACTACTGAATTAGGATCTGCAATTTAACACATGACTTCTCAGCACAGAAGGTAAGTTTTGATCAGAAGTTTCGAGGAAAAAAAACTGCCAAGAGAGGAGGCATTCTGGGCAGACATAAAATACACGTATAAATATCGGAAGAATGGAGCGAAGGTGTGGGAGACAGGACATGGGTCAGGTGGGGCATATTTGAACAGACGGAGCAAAACTGGCAAAGAATCTGAACCATGTTCCATGCAGTTTATATCTGGCGTAATAAGAAACCTCAGTGGTTTCCTAACCTTTGGAAAACAGTCACACCATCCGAATGGGTTAAAGGGCAGTAGTGCTGAAAGAGATGAGAAGTTCCCAGAGAGAGTAAGTGGGGCAGAGCTCTCTCTTCCGTCGACCCACCTCAAGTGTCTAGCTTCTCTTCCTGTGAAAGGGCTGTCAGCTTCCCAGAGCAAACAAAGTGCTAAACCATCCCCTCTTCATATGGAAATCCCTTCCTCCAGGTAAACTCTGCAGGGGTCATTCTACTCATCCCTAGTCCTCAGCCTGACTGCCTCAAGCACAGCTCTCCTCTTGACTAGCAACCCACGATCCCAACTGAGTTTAGCCATCATGGTGCACGTGGGACCTGATACTAGCTAGTGGCTGTTGCACATTCACCCTCTTACCCAGACCACCACCAGGCAAGTGTTGTCCCTAAGCATCTATTTGCCTTGCTGGCATAAAACTGACTTAAAACCCTGGACCGCCCTCCTTTCCTCCAAGAGGAGAAGTCTTTTGGGTCTCTCTTTCATACTTGGATGTTATCTGGGATATCAACTTAGTCTTCCATTCTGCCTTGGCAATGGAGTCTGGGCATGTGGTACCAAAAACACAGGATCAGAAATAATAGAAAAGAACACGGCAAGCAGCCAGCTGCCTGGCCCCATCCCAGCTACACATGAGCCCAGTTCTGGCCCCACTGCCTAAATGGGTGTGGAATTGGCAAATGATGAGGGACAAGAACAAAACCTCCGTGCAGAGACCTTGGAGAAAGCCAATTTTGTTTTGAGGCCAATTTGGGGATTATCTCTATTCGCTAAAGTTAAGAATAGTTTCTGGGACTGCAGCCCAAGGAAATGGCTTAAAGGAGAAAGACATAAAATTACAGATGTACTATGATAACAACTAGAAAAGAAAATGTGGCTAAAGACAAGAATATGAAGAACCTGTAGGTGATTTTACTAGAGCAGGGATTATAATTATTAATGGTAGCCAAAAAGTGAGGAATGGGGAGAAGATCTGGGGATCACAACACATTCAATCCCAGAATACTCAGGACAGGTTGACTACATGGGGAGCTCCAGCCACAAAGCAGTTCTCTAATTCTAAGCCTGCAGAAACTTACCATCCGAAGTGCTAGGAAATTAAACAGAGGGCAAACCATGGATCTGCCTCTCCAACAGCCCCTTTCATATGAATGATGACAGAAAAGCAATTCACAGATTAAAGCAGCTAACCTCAGGAGAGCAAGGCCTATCTCCTTTCCATAAGGAACAAAACAAAGTAAAAGGTCTTCAAATTATCCTTCCACACAGGGACTGCTGTGTTTCACACCCTGAACCTATGGAGACAGTAAAGCAACCTCCTCACCCCACTACTCTAAGCCCCCAAAAGCCATTCACAAGGGAGGGTATATCATAGCTTTGAATTGGCTAAAGTTTCTACAGAGAAATAAGATAGGCAAATATTTACAGTCCAGGGTAGAGGCCAGGTGAAATGGCTTTGTCAAGGCTGATGCTCACTGATGGTACATTTATGTGGCCTGGCTACCTAGTTACACAGGGAACCCTGAAGCAGTGTGTCTGTGCCGTCTGTCTGTCTGTTCCTCTCCTTCAGTGTGGTCCGAAAGTAAATGTAAAGTTCTCCAGGATGCAGAAAACCGAGACAACAGTTTTGTAGAAACCCTTGGACTCTGAAGCTGACCCAAGCCAGGACATCTAAGACATGCAATCTGCTGAGTTTTCAAAACTCAAGATAACAAATGGCTATGATCTGGTACCATGTACCTGGATCAAAGCTTTCAGTCTAAATTCACCAAAGCCTGAAATTTAACAATTACTGAATGTCTACTGTATGTCAGGTAAAATTAAGTCTTTCTTTCTCTAGAAAACATGGTAACTTTTTGAAGGCATTACATGATCTATGCTGCTTAAGATTTTTGTTTTTTAAACCACTTACCAAATCAGTACTTGCTTATATACCCCTAACTCTTGCCTGACACAATAGACCAAAAGCTCAAAGGTCAGCAGCAGAGAAAAAATACAGTTCATACACACTACCTCTGGTAAGATATCTTTGTCAGCAGCTTGGATTTGCCTGTGGGCCCTATCTCTAAAAGTCCCAGGGGTTAGGGGTGACTCTAGTTCCATGACAAGATAGGAAAGACCAGAGAGAGGGAGACGGCCTACAGACTCCAAGGGGCCCAGGAGTCACAAGGAGCCAACCAGGCAAGAGAGCACCCAGCCCTTGGCCTCTTTCCCTAAATGCCCTTCCCCATCCTGCTGACCCAGACAGAATGTCAGGGCGGCTGCACGGTACACAAAGTCCTGCCCTGGGGTAGATGGGAGGTGAAACTTACAATCCAAGGTGAGCAGAAGGAACACAAATATAAAGAACTGCCCTCAAATACAGGTGCAATTATAAACACACCAAAAGTAGGCACCCTGGGAGATACACAAACTCTAAGGACAATGAGCACGCAATCCAAAGCTGGAGCCAGGTGGGGGAGTGTGGGAAAGCCTTACCCAGCAGAGGCTTCCAGAGGAGAACCAGAGCCCAACCTTCGGCCGGCACCCACTACCGCTTCACCTGCTGCTGCTTGTTTTCTCATTCACTACAGCTTCCTGCTGTAATTCTCTAGAGAGTCTCCATTCTCACACAGGAGCTGGAGTGTGAGTTTTACATTTGGTCAGAAGTACTCTTGAACTCACTTAAATTACCAATACACTACAGTATATACCGTTGCCTGCATTCACTCCTTAAAGTAATAACATACCATATATAATAAAGAGGGCCATGGTGGGTAAAAAAAGATGCCTGTCTTTAAACAGGTGAATCATGAGCAACAAGGTCAGAGGTTCAGAGCATGAGGGGGCCTGAGATCACCTGAGGGAAGGTAGAGAGGAGGCTCCTACTCATTGTGGGGCAATGCTCATCAACTGGAACAACAAAGAGGCAAAAGTGAGTTCTCCTTCCCTATAGCTTTTTGTTTCTTTTTTTGTTTTCAGCTCATGTCACTGCTGTTAAATTCACATGATCAGGTCCATTATGTGTATAACATACACTTTATGTCCCTAACTAACCATGTACCTACCCTCATACCCTTGCCTGCATGCGCCTTCCCACAATGACACCCCTTAAACTGTCCTTTGTTATTTACCATTTCGTGTGTGTGTGTGTGTGTGTACGTACGTACAGAAGGATGGGTGGGGAACCATGGATAAAAGTTACAGTGAGAAGACCTAGTCTTTCCAGTGCCACTTGCCCACACACAACCCCCAAGGATGGGGAAATGGAGAGAAACATGGATCAGTTGGTTCATGGCTTCTTTTTATAAACCTATTTCATTTATAAACCATACAAATTTTCTTTACAGAGGCCATGTGTTTACAAGGCCAGGCTCAGCACCTGCCCTGGAGTTTACAATGTAAGGAGTCACATTACTCACCTAGTGTAACGTCTGTTAGAAACAAGATGTTGTTGGTTGAGCACCCAATGCTGCTTGCAATCTTTCGGTAACTCTCACTCTCCACTTTGTGTCCAATCTTGGTATCAAAGTGCCCATCAACAAGCTGCACACAGGGAAAGAAAAGACTAATGTTATAAATACACTTGGAACCCGACCCTTTGTCTCTCCTCCATTTGCTCTGAAATACGTTAACAATCATAGTGATTTCGTCCCCTCAATAAATAATCCCTGAAAGTCTACTTAATAGAGAATTTTATGCAGGCTACAGAAAATAAAGTAGATTTTATAGAAATAAACATTTGGAAGAAAACTACCAATTCAATGTATATAAAATCATGTTACAATTTACTTGGTTTTCTTTGATTAGCATTAATTTTATATCCAAAATTTTTTAAAATATACATGCCCATGTTCCTTTGAAGAACTATTTGATAGATACTTGGAAAAGTACTTGAATGAAATAATATCAAAACTGTTAAAAAAAAATATACATGCCCGACTTTCTATCCTTAAAGCCCTACTTGCACTCAAATTACTTATTGGACTGGGTTTCACTCCTGATGACAGGTCCTAAACATTGTCCTTTTGATCCCAGAATGAACAGATTTCTCTAACCTGCCTCATTATTAAGCTGCTACTTAACTTTCTCTGCTGCTGACCTTTGAGCTTTTGGTCTATTGTGTTAGGCAAGAGTTAAAGGTATATAAGCAAGTACATTTTTATCCTTGAATTCAGTAAGTAACTATTGTGTATTATCTACTATCACCTTACTGTCTGTTCCATCAGAGAGAATAAAAGAGTAGCTTACATCTGTATTCAGAGGAGATACACGTATTAAAGGGTTTTATTCCTGATTTAATATTTGATTTAAACTAAGATAAAACACAGGGAAGTACTAAAATGAGAATACAACATCTCCAAAGCCAAAGTGTTCTCTGTGCACAGTAGAGGCTCAATAAATATTTATTTAAAAGATAGTTGGCTGAGTGACCTACTGCATATCACTAAGTTCAGCCTGTATTCGGTGAGTTAGCATTTCTTTTTAAAGTCCTAAATGCGGGGCACCTGGGTGGCTCAGTCGTTAAGCGTCTGCCTTCGGCTCAGGTCATGGTCCCAGGGTCCTGGGATCGAGCCCCGCATCGGGATCCCTGCTCCTCCCTCTCCCACTCCCCCTGCTTGTGTCGTCTCTCTGTCAAATAAATAAATAAAATCTTAAAAAAATAAATAAAGTCCTAAATGCCTTCCCTTTTCCCAGTGCCCACCCTGTCCCAGAGGGTGCAGGGATGGTGGGACAGAGGAGCCGGAAGGAATTTTCTCTTCTACAAGAAAGGTAACAGGTGGCCTTAACATATCACCATTTAATAACACACCCAGTTCCCTTACAGAAGAATGAGGTTTCTGCTAAAATAAAATCTGCTCTCTCTCCAAAGTGCCAGAAACAAATGAATCTACCTTGCACTCTGTTTCGCTAAAGAAGTGTACGTGTGCATGTGTTTGGATGGGGCACGGGCCACTATTGTACTGCTGCTCACCAGCTACTTGAAACAACCAAAAGAAGTGGGCCATTAGTTTTGTCTGAGTGGACATGAGCATGACAGCATGAGCATGTATATATATGTATATATATACATATATATATTCCTGACCCCCCCATCCCGGACCTGCCAATGCAGCTGTGCTAGGAAGCACGGCCCAGGGAACTACACTTTGAACAAACTCCCCTGGTGATCGTTACTCACAACAGCTTAAGAACCTCCGATGCCAAGACTGGTACGACAGAAACATTTCACCCTTCCCTCGAATGCATTCCCTAGTTTATCCACTTCTCTTTACCACCTGCTTAGCATATATACATGTGGTGCTCTGAATGTTGACTTAGCTTATAACTATAGGATATTCCTTTAAGATTCATTCTTTCATGCTTTCACAGCATCAGAAAAACAGAGTAATCGGGTAACCTACCTCAAGAATATCTCCCTCTGTAGAATGCCCAAATAATAGCTTCTGGGCCTCTACACTCCCTGAAGAATAGATATACACCTTCATTCCAGCCTCTCTCCATTTCCGGACTGCTGGAACTACATCTTCGAAGAACCTAGAGGAAAGACCATCAAGTTCAAATGCAGGAATATGGTATCTAGCCTGATGAAAACCAGTCAAAATAGCTGTAACAAGTTTCTTTTATTTGAGCCCAAAGGGTCACCATGAGAAACACCTCCAAGAGACTGCAAACTCCTGCTGACCTAACAAGCTTGTCACTGGGACTCCAGAACCACAGTAGATTAGAAGCAGCAATGTAGGTGGAGAGAGCAGTTTTGGACAGGCAGCCACACTACCGACAGTAAAAAGTGATTACAAATAAGGGATGAAATAAAGTGCTTTTTTAAATTCCCAAGGAACTCAAAAAAAGTAACAATTATGTAATCTTCGATGTAATTATAACAAGAAGAGGTTACATGATGTCCAGTGTGCCTTCAGAAAGCATGGAAATGCCTTTAAAAAGATTTGCTCCCAAACAATTACAAGAAAAACATTTGAGGGTTCAAAGCTACTCATACGTGACTAGCTAGAAAATGGAACTCCATTTCTTAAGAACTAAGAAAACCTAAAGTTTTAAAATATAGAAAAAAATTACCTAATAAAACAGTTAAGAGACTCGTACCATCTCACATCAGCTAATCGGCAAACAGTGTCTAGCTTTTCTGATTCCTGACATGAAGTCCTGCTTCCCAGTTCTACACCGCCTTCCATATTCGGTGGTGGAATTATCGCAGAAATAGGTGAAAAGAGAAGCACAAGGAACTTGGAATGTGGAACCAGTCATCTTTAAAAGATTAACTGGAAAATGTCAGGGAAGTCTCCTACTGGATAAAACAGCTTAATGGATTACGCTAATTGAAGGAAAGAGATCAACTAATTTGAAACCAGCACACATAATTGTGGGTTACTTTGTGCGTTATTTGCAATCATAGAAACAGGATTTTTCCACATTGAATCTGCAGATTGTTACCGTTCCAATTCAGGGCTTAGAAGTCTAAGGTAACTTATTTCAAGTCCCTGGTTTTATAATTACGGAAACCAGTCCAAGACAATGAAGGACTAACTATAACTAGTTCGAGCGTCCTCTCTCAGCTCCACTCTTTAGTGTTTTATATAGTGAACTAGCGGATATTCCCAGATGACTGGCCTATCCTGATATTCTAATGCATCCTTTAAAAAGTGGAAGCCCCCTGGGGTGCCTGGGTGGCTCAGTCAGTTAAGCATCTGACTTCGGCTCAGGTGATGATCTTAGGGTCCTGGGATTGAGCCCAGCAGTCAGGCTCCTCGCTCAGCGGGGAGTCGGCTTCTCCTCCCCCTTTGCCCTGCACGCGCGCTCTCTCTAAGAAATAAATAAAATCTTAAAAAAAAATATGAAAAAGTGGAAGACCCTTGTAAAGTACATAAATAAAGGAATGGCATTTCATTCGACAGAAGAACAAAAGAAATACAGCAACTAGAAGTAGTCTTGGATCTTAGGGTGTACGTCAGGCAATGACTCAAAATCCTTAGTGGCAGGGTCTTATTAAGAATTTCTTAGCAGGGCGCCTGGCTGGCTCAGTCAGTAGAGCATGCGACGCTTGATCTCAGGGTTGTAAATTTGAGCCCCACATTGGGTGTAGATTACTTAAAAATAGAATCTTTAAAAAAAAAAAAAAATTCCTCAGCAATGCAAGACTCACGAGTCTTCTTTCAGCAGGAAGGCTCTCAGGAACACCACAGCCCAGACTCAGATAGTCTGTGGAAGTTGTTGTATCAGCACAGGACAGAGCGGTACTGCTGACACTCTGAGTAACCCCAAAATATGTAACTAATCTCAAAGCATTCTTCCTTCTCTAGCAGAGCAGAAAGCAGGTAACCTAACAGCTCTGAGAAGCAGCCCAACAGGACTGTCTGCTAAAGATCAAATATGACTGAGCTCAAAGAAGTCACCATTTTCTGGGAAGCTGTTTTAAACTGGGATAAAAGTCCTCAACCATCCCACAAAGCCAGGCATGCTGCTCTGGGGAACTTAGCTGGGTGGAATGCTTTATCCCGGCTTTGAAAAAACAAAACAAACACTTGCTCGTTAAGATAAAAAGAATTGGGGCACCTGAGTGGCTCAGTTGGTTAAGTGTCTGCCTTCGGCTCAGGTCATGATTCTGGAGTCCTGGGATCGAGCCTCACATCGGGCTCCCTGCTCAGCGGGGAGCCTGCTTCTCCCTCTCCCCCTGCCTACCCCTCGTTCTCTCTCACGCTCTCAAATAGATAAATAAATTCTTTAAAAATATAAAATAAAATAAAAAGAATGTTGATTTTATCTATTTGACTAATCACACAACTAACACTAATCACACAGAGAGAGGACCAGTGGAAAATGTACTGGGTTTCGGGGCTGGTGAAATGTTTGAGCTCCTTGAGCAGCTACATACTCGGCTTTCATGCGCCCAGCTGCGAATGCCGCCCTCCACATGTGGCCCTGCAGCTGTTTCAGCGCCGTGGTCTTCCGGTCCAGAGACATCTGCCAGCACACGTTATCCACCACGGCCTGGATCATCTGCTGCAGGTCATCTCCTCCATTCCCAGATGAGGCAGGGATGGGAACAGCCCCATCCAGGTGGGCATCCTCTTCAGCCTTTAAGTCATAAACAACATGAAGTCTGTTTCTTATTTTAATTTTAAAAAAGATCACTTAAAATGAGACACGAAAACCCAGCGGACCAACTTTCTCCAACTATCATTGGCACCCAGCACTGTTACAAATTCAAGTATCTTACACTCTGGGGCTGATATGAATGATTCCTAAAGGAAAGTGGATTATAATTAATAAATTCGCATCACCTTTCCTATATTGCTAAAGCTGAAATTTAAATGGAGAGACACGGTGTACATGAGGAGAGAGACAGCATATAATGATAAAATGATATAGTGGGACCAGTGTGTCGATTCACTTACAGGGATCAACAAACCAGGACTTCAGTTAAATCTGATCATTTTCTCGGCACTATAATGAACCGAGGAAGAAACAAAGAAAATGTCAACAAAATCTGTTTATGCCTGGAATTCAACAAAAACAAGCTAGCAAAGCAATGCCTGGGGTTGGTTCTTTTTCAGTATCTTGCAGTTTTCCTCATCTTGCCCCAAAAACCTAACAGCTACTTAAAACAATGACTCTGTGATGAAGCATATGTCCAATTTCTAAAGACCAATGATATACATACTATAGAGGGGGAATATATAATTTCAACAAGAGTTGAGACAACAGAAAGCTAAGGGAGGGGAGTGTTTCAGACTAACCCGGAGTTATCTAGAACATTTAACAAACCCAAATACCCCATGGCCCAAAGGCTTTATTTCCGATCCCAACTCCCAACCATTAAAACATTTCTAGAGCGTTCCACATCGTCCGATGTAGAAAACAAACTAGAAAATAACTGTCAGAGTTCGCCCTGCACAGTGTGAAAGATCTTTGCCACTGAAGCAATGTGAAGAAGAAAACGAATAGGAGTTCTACAGCACAGAATGCGGAAGGAAAAACGGACTGTAAACCGGGCAGAGAACAGAGTAGAATAGCACAGGAGACAAAGATGGGCCTAGTTGTGAGCGGGGTGCGAGGTCTACGGGGCTGTGTGGAGGTGAGGCCCCAGGAGCGCTGTGCAGGGGGCAGAAGAGACTAGAGAATCACTGGGAGACATTAATGAAAAATGTGGTAAGATGGCACCAAAATCTCTTGCACACTACCAAGAAAAAGCTTAGTTTTAAAAATACATGACGGGGCACCTGTGTGGCTCAGTCGTTAAGCGTCTGCCTTCGGCTCAGGTCATGACCCCAGTGTGCTGGGATCGAGCGGGCATCGGGCTCCCTGCTCAGTGGGGAGTCTGCTTCTCCCTCCCCAACTCCCCGTGTGTGTTCCCTCTCTCACTGTCTCAATGTCAAATAAATAAATAAAATCTTAAAAAAATAATAAACTTAAAAAAATAATAAAAAAAATACATGACATTTTTATGCGATCGAAACAACTCCAGTGAGAGGCAACTATAGAGACAATAAACTGCCGTGATCTGGCCATTTAATTATGTTCTGTGAATTCCTAAGCAAGTCACTGCAAAGTCCAAGCACCGTGAATCCAGAGCGCTTATTTTGCAGTACGTTCAGAGCACATCTGTCTCTGGGCATCCTCAATTCTCAGACACTTGGGAATGTGGAAGCAATGGAAGAGCAATGTCCCAACCTGTTTCCTCAAAAGATTGACATCCTGCTGGCACTCCTCTTCTTCCCAATGTGTCTGGAGATACTCTTTAACATTTTCTCTGATGTAAGGAAATAAAATGTCCTGGATAAACAAGTTAAAAAACAAACAAACAAACAAGAATTAGCTTGTCATTTGCATGAGATCAAGTTCTTCAACAATCTCACCTCTGCTAACTGTAGCAAGTAAGCCACTGAAACCTACATGGAAAATATGAAAATCTCTGTTGTGGCTATAGAAACAAAGACCAAGAAACAAATGAACTAGGTCAAGAGTCAGCCAACTATGGCCCACGGGCCAAAGCCAGACTGACATCTCCTGTTTTTGTAAATGAAGATTTTTTGTTTTTGTTTTTTAAGTAAGCTCTACACCCAATGTGGGGCTTGAACTCACAACCCAGAGATCAAGAGTCACACGCTCTACCAACTGAGCCAGCCAGGTACTCCCTGTAAATGAAGTTTTACTGGAAATGGCCACACTCATTTGATTATAGCGTCAGAGGCTACTTCTGGGCCACAGTGGTAGAGTATTTGTAACCAAGATCATATGGTCCGCAAAGTCTAAACATTTACTGTTCAGCTCTTTACAGAGAGTCCGCTGACTCCTAAACTAGATTGCTAGACCACAGGTCCGTGAGGGCAGGGATCAAGTTTATCTTGCTCACGGCTGTATCCCTGATACACACACAGTACTTGGGACTTGCACACAACTCAAATATCTGCTGAAAGAGTGGTGTCCATGCATGACAAATGCTTAAAAATTTTTTTTGATCACCGTGATTCTTTCTTGGTAATCAGACTCCCTATAGAACACCCTATATGAGAGTGATGGGCAAGACAATTCAAAGATAAATACCCTGTCAATAATCCATACATTGGCAAGGTGATTTCTCTTAGGTCAAAATTTGTATTTACTTACAATTGAGCATATGTATCTTTTCAAATCAAATGAGGCACATTCAATAATTTTTTTAGTGTCTACAAGTGGGGCATGCAAAAGGGAATTGAAAAGACAAAATATATCAGAGTCCCTTTTCTCAATAAGCTTAAGAATTTAGTGGGGAGACAGGAGGATGGCAGGCAAACCAAGACTTGCAACACGGTGCAATGGGTGAGACAAGCAGAGTAGGAGCAGAATGCTGTACAAATCCAGAGAATGACGACTCTGCAACAGTCTCAGCAATTACCTGTCTAAAAAAGCCAGAAAATGAATATATGCTAGGAGTGTAGACCCCAAGTATACAACTCAGAGGAGGTCTTCCATTTTAAGGAAAATTCTATAATCAAGTTGAACTCAAGAAGTCTGTTTATTTATAAACTCATTCACTCATTTAATTATTCAAATATTTACTGAACGCCCTTTATAATTTCCAGTTAGAAGATAAATAAGTCACGGGGATATAAAGTATAGCATACGGTATACAGTCAAGAACACTGTAATAACTTCGTATAGTTATGGATGGTAATTAAGTTTATTGTGGTGATCATTTCCTAATGTATATAAATGTCCAATAACTATGCTGGCACACATGAAACTAATATAATACTGTGTGTCAACTATATTTCAACAAAAAAAGATAAATAAATAAATAGTAGGGCTGAAGCATTTACCTCTCTTCATAACACGTTATTCAAGTTTCACCTGCCCTAGTAAAAATAAAGAAGTCATTCAATTTTGCTTGTTCTCATGTGGCATTCCAGTAAGTAATGGATCATTCAGCAGACTCAAAAGCATACAGTGTAATCAAACTGTTCAGCGTACTTGACAGAACAGCCTTGTTCGAGCTCAATAAAAACTCATTCCTGATCTCAAAGAAGGAAAATGAAGAGCTGAGATTGACAGCTTGCTGTTTGTGCAAGATTCCTTTTACCATACTGCTATACTTCTGCTTTTCTTTAAAGACTGGGTTTTCCCATTGTGCCCTTCTTTATCCTTCCTTTCATCTACTTCTCTCTCCCCCTCTCATGCACTGTGGTAGACTGCAAGCTGGCCTCCCCACTCAAGAATGCTCTTGGAGAAGATAGAGTAAACCTGAAGGTTTTGTGCACACACATCCAATCCTCTCCTAGACATGTACCATAGATAAACTCTAATAGATGTGCACAAAGAGGAAAGTAAAAAAATGTTTATTGCAATACTGCAATACTACTAAAATACTACATTTTACAACAAAATCAATGGAAGCAACCTAAATCTTCATCAGCTAGAAAATAAGCTCGGGTATATTCATTCATACTCTAAAACAATATATAGCAGTTAGGGGCGCTTGGGTGGCTCAGTCTTTAAGCGTCTGCCTTCGGCTCAGGTCATGGTCCCAGGGTCCGGGGATGAAGCCCCGCATCGCATCGGGCTCCCTCCCTGCTCAGCAGGAAGCCTGCTTCACCCTCTCCCACTCCCCCTGCTTGTGTTCCTGCTCTCGCTATCTCTGCCAAATAAATAAAATCTTTAAAAATATATATATACATATATATAGCAGTTAAAAATCAGAGCACTTAAATTATAAACATGAATATAAACTCTAACATATAAATAAAACTCTAACACAAAATGAGAAGTACTCAAGAGTCTCAGTTCTATCTGTAATGTTTTATTTCTTTAAGATCTGAAACAAAATAGTATAAAATCTAATAAGCTTTGTGGGAGGTGCATGGTAATTATATTAATCCTTATTCTTCCTTATTTAAAATGTTTCACAATTAAAAAACAAGTCAACTTTGATCCCTCATCCTCTACCTGCTTCTTTCTCACTTGGTCATCCTCCTCTAATGTCCTGTCTCCATTATTCCCCAATTCTCAAACTGGAAACATTCCTGGGGGAAAACTGTTGGTTAGATTCAGGGCCTCCCAATAACTGAATAGCTGAAGTACTCAAAAGGTATAAAAACGGATGCAATGCTATACTACTTTGTGCTTCACAAAGCCCAATTTCCTAATCCAGCTTTACTGGTCCCAAGAACAATTTATGAAGGGCCTGTGATTCCCGGGAGCCCAAGTGCTTAACTTCTGTGGGAGAAGAAATGACTCTGGGCAGCATGCCAGGCTGGGGTCTTACCTCTCTGCCTTTTATTGCTATGTTCAACTTATCCTCTCTGACCCTCAGTTTTCTCATCTGCTAAATGGGAATGATAATACCGAGCAAGGTCACTGTAGTAATTAGAGATACATAGATAAATAGATAGATAGGTAGGTAGATAGATAGGACCTAGACCTTATCACTTACATTCTCCATCACAGAAAACATTTAAACTGGGCAAGGATCACCTTTGACCCAAATTTAGTGACAAATAATAGCAGAGAAGTTCCCAGAGGATATATCAAAGCACAATGAACTCATATTCAACTTTTACTGAGGACACACTGAGTGCCAGATTCTTCTGATAACAGAGTTATGAACCACAGCCTCTCTCCTCAGAGGACTCACAGAAATAAAGGGTGCAAGGTTTCAAACAATTTTGAACTTTTAGGAAAAGCTTTAAAAGTTAGAGATTACTTCAGAATTCCTGATCATCTAATTTGACCCTTTCCTCTAGATATAAAACTCCCCTGTGCACTGAGTAAACACACAAGCTAGGCCACGAGGGCAGAACTTAGTATATAACACATGGAATATTAAGACTACCTGGGGTAGACATATTAGCAGACTTCTATTTTAGTGCAGTGTTACTGCATCATATAAAGGTACATGGGGCAAATAACTAAATTATGAAGATTTTATCCTATTCTTTCAACATACTTTTTGAGCAACCTATTTTATAAAATAAATGAAATGCCTTCAAGTTGCTTATTTTTTAAAAAGCCAGTAATTATATGAATTACATGTGTTATGATATCATATAAGAATGCTCTAAAAAAAAAGAGTTGGTAAAGCTAGTGCTTATTGCCCAACACTGCCCACTGAACATTTTCAGGCTTTAAAAGTAATTCCAGAAATAAGTGTGATGACAAATGTTTTAACTTCAGTCATAATCCATTTATGGGTAATTTCAGAATACTACAGTATGAAAAAAATGCTGCAATAAACCCAGGGTTCTATAAACATGTGAAATATGTTTAGTCCACCAGGCACCTAAGGGGCTGTTGTGGTTTAGTAGTACACATAACAAAAGGCCATAGAACTAAATAAGAGTATTTGTCTCTCAGGGGACTATGATTAAGTTCCACTATAACTGCTGGAGGGGATACTATGCAAACAGCAATTTATTACTCCATGCAGCTCAACGGTAGCTTTCTGAAAGAGCTCCATTAAGGCTCCTTCAGGGCCACAACATTTCTGAACATCTAATTAAACAAGTTGCCTCATTAATGTTTAGAAGTCCAAATATGGATTTGCTTTATGGTCAAGTGGTTGTTTCAATAAAAAGGTCAGAGAATCAATAAGAATTAAATAGTCGCTATAATGTTTACTCAAGTCTCCTTTGAGGAAAATGGATAATAAAAAGGTAATGGGTAATACTTAAGAGTATAGCTATTTAAAGGAACTATTTTAAAAGCCTTCCAATGAACCACACAGTGCAACAAATGATTTAAAGTATTTGAGAACTTAAAACTTTTTCAGCCAGGGGTGCCTGGCTGGCTCAGTCAGTAGAGCACGCGACTCTTAATCTCAGGGTTGTGAGTTCAAGCCCCACACTGGGCATGGAGCCTACTTAAAATAAAAATAAGGAGCGCCTGGGTGGCTCAGTCGGTTAAGCATCTGCCTTCGGCTCAGGTCATGATCCCGGGGTCCTGGGATTGAGCCCCACGTCAGGCTCCCTGCTCAGCAGGGAGTCTGCTTCTCTGTCTCTGCTGCTCCCCCTGCTTATGCTCTCACTCTCACTCTCTGGCAAATAAATAAAATCTTTAAAAATAAAATATTTTTTTAAAATAAAAATAAATCTTTTTCAGCCAGAAAATTAAACAACACAAAGGCATTACTGGTGGACTACTATTTTTCTATTCATCTCAGAAGATAAAAAGCAAAGGAAAATTAAGTGGGTTGATGGGTCTTAGAAACAAATCACATTCTCGGGGTGCCTGGGTGGCTCAGTCAGTTAAGCAGCTGCCTTCGGCTCAGGTCATGATCCTAGGGTCCTGGGATCAAGCCC